GTGTGTGTGTGTGTGTGTGATGTGTGTGTGTGTGTGTGTGTGCGTGCGTGCAGCGGTTCGTTGCAGATATCTCCCAACACTCCCCCCATCCCCTTTCATCCGCGCGCCTCATCACACAACAAATGCACCCATCGTCTCCACCACAACCACCACTGTTACCAGAACGCACTGCACCGAGATGCCGCTGCGCCATCGCACTGCCAATGACGGCCCTGATGTCAGGGATCGCCGCACGCCCATCGTTCAAGGTGGTGAAGACCCACCAACACAGCAACAGCAACGACGTGGCATGGAGTGCAACGGAAGCATGATGACCTCACACTCTCTGTCTGCGTGTGTGTTATGATTGCGTGTTCATGCGTGCGTGCATCTATGGCAGGTGTACGTGTACCGTCTGACTGCTGATGAAGAGGCCGCCCCTGCCAGCCATCGACCGCGCCATCCGAACCGCCATCCTTGACGGCCGTACAGCACCGATGACCTGTCCAAGGCTTGCCTCCTCGTTCCAGGCACAGACGTGTCGTGCTGGTGTGAAGGTGTGTGTGTGTGTGTGTGTGAGTGTGTGTGTGTTTGTGATTGTGCGTGTGTCGCGTCGGTGCAGATGCACGGGCTTCCACAGCCGTCACCATCACCACCACCACCACCTCACAACTGTGTGTGCGCGCTTGCGGCTGAAAGATTGCATGCACAGCACGTACTCTGGCAGCATTGAGTCGATGCATCCCGTGAGCGCAGCCATCTACCGCAATCTCTCCAGCTGAGGTGGTGGTTTGTTGTTGCTTGTGGTGCTCGTGTGCTTGCGGATCTTGATGTCGTGCGTGCGAGAGAACCTATGTTCATGGCTGCCTTCCAAACACACATAACAATACATGTGATGCATGGCAGACTTGCGTATTGGAATGAGGGCCGCTACCACATCCTGTTTGAGTACAGTGACACACCATGTCTCCCTGGCATGCAGAACACCCCATTCTTGCAGAGGTACAATGTGTGCGTGTGTGTGTGTTGGAACATGACTGTGTGTGCCTGCGCTCACCATCTACGACTGCTGTTGCTTACACTTCACCAATGCCGCCTTGTTTCGCATCACCACCTGCATCAGGTTGGCCTGAGTGAATTCCACCACCGTGACGGCCTCGATGTGTCCATGCCACTCTTCTCCATTGTGACATTCATTCATTCACACCGGAGCAGCGACGCGTTCCGCCCGCACAAACAGGAAGTACCTCGTCACCTTCAGGTGTGTGCTTGCATGCGTGTGTGTTGTGACGTGGTGCGATGTGGGGTACGATGTTCACTACTGCTGCTGCTGGGGTTCGAGGGGTCGGTGTCGCTCACTGCACCACCGCTTGCCCTTCTTGTGCTGCTGCAACCTCACTCCAAACCTGTCGGGGTGCCGCTGCTTGACATGTGTCTTCTTTCCCTGATGTGCAGAGGCACCACCAAGTCTGCTCGCTCTCATGCCATGCGCAACCATCTCTCCACAGTTCACAACGGTAGGTGTGGTGCGTGTGTGATGTTGTGTGTTGTCGTGTTCCGGGTGTGTCTCGTGCGTTGCCTCGGAGTCAACTGGTTTTGGTGCTGTGTGCGTGTCTGTCTGGATCCACCTCACACACACACACATACACACATACATCGTCTCTTTGTATGTTTGCTTGTGTATGCGCAGGGACATTGTGTTGGTGTGCGCGTGCCGGTGGTTTGACGAGGAGCGCATGGGTCGTGAGGGCGAAGGTTGGCTATGACCCCTCGTGCAAGCAGGCAGAGGAAGAGCTCAACAAGTACACGTACACGGATCTGGCGCTGGAGACCAAGTTTGGGCTCATCGTGGAAGCAATTGGGTACCACCCCTTCAGGTGCGTGTGTGTGTGTGTGTGTGTGTGTGTGTGTGTGTGTGTGTGTGTGTGTGTGTGTGTGTGTGCGTGTGTGCGTGTGTGCGTGCGTGTGTGTTGCAGACGATTTCGGTCCTGTTCGTGCTCATCACCCACCTTCCACCTCCTGCCACTCGCTTCACGTCTCAGATCATGGCTGCGGGTACCATCCCCGTCATTGTCGTCGATCACTACGTGCTGGTGCGTATGGATGGATTGTACATTGTGTGTGTGTGTGTTTCTTGTGTGTCACATCACTGTGTGGATGTACCCCTCCCGTCGCTCATGGTGCTGTGATGTGATATGATGGCGTTTGCTTTTTGCATTCTTGCAGCCCTACCAGGACCTGCTGGACTGGGAGACGTTCAGCATCCGCATTCCCGAGCACAGGCTCCTCGAGGTGTGGTGACAGGTCGGTGACATGGGGATGTCAAGCGATGCGTGAGGGGTGGTGTGTTTTGATGGGGATTGTGGTTGTGATGGCTTGCATGTCACGTCGCACACACACACACACACACACACACACACGCACACACACAACTGTGTTCAGCTTCCGAGGATCCTGCGGTCGATCCCTGATGAGGTGGTGGAGATGATGCAGAGACGCGTTGTGTTTATGTTTGAGGAGTTCTTCAAGTCCATCTCCACCCAAGTGCACACAGGTGAGGGAGTATGTTGTTGGGACAGGGGGCTGTCGAGTGAGTGTGGGGAGTATGGTGTGATGTGTGCGTTGCTCACGTGTTCTCGTGTCCGTTCAACCACTCTCACCATCTGCCAACTCGTGTGTTATGACTGTGCTATTTGCTACTGTCAGCGCTGGAGTCTGCCAGGATCAACCTGTTCAGCGGCGACAACGCCTGGCAGGTAGGTGTGTGTCTGTGTGTGTGTTGACGTGCGTGTTCTCTTCTCCGCCCATCCACACGCCATCATCACCTCCTCATTTGCTTGTGTGTTTGCTCACATCCTTCCCTTCCCACCCTCAACACGACTATCACCACCACCCTCCACACTTGCTCGTTTCCCCTTCCTACTTTCTGCTGTCGCCACACAGAGGGCCCTTGAGCCAGCAGCTGTCACCCCTCCCTCCACCAATAACCACTGCTCTGGTGGGATGAACAGACGGGCGCTGCCATGCGATGATCATCCAGCCACGCTGTGCGGCTGCGGAAGCAGCAACACCAGCAATACACCACAGCACAAGCAAGCCAGCGATGAGCAACGTGAGTGCGTCACTGCATGTGCGTGTGTGTGTGATGAGCACAGCACCAGTGTGCGTGTTTTGTGGTCGCTGTCTCTGTTGCTCCTGTCTCCCCTTGTTGTCCCACATCAATGTGTGCATGTGTGTCGTGCGGCTGCCTGTTTTGCCTTGCGTGATGCCTGTCTCATTCGTCGTTCTCACACACACAACTGCTTGCACACCTGCACATTCTCCACCTTGCAGCCGCTGCTCATATTCCCCTCTCTTTCTCGCCCTCCCTGACGGCCATCACAACAACAACAACAGCAGCAGCAGCCAACACACCCTCCACCGCCGATGCAGCAGAGATGTGCAGGAGGAGGTGGACGTGACCACCAGCATCACTTGCTGCTGAACACATCCCCCAACCAACCCATCGCCCGCTGCTGCTGGCGGAAGCTGGCTGTTTGTTTGCAGCTGGGAACAGGTGCCGACGGCACAAGTTGCGTTTTCGGCTGGAAGCAGCAGCAAGCAGAGGTGAGGGCGAGAAGAAGAGGGGAAAGGGAGAGGAGATGTGTGTTGGCTGGATGGCTGGATGGATGGGATAAGGTGGGGTGGGGGATGCTGAGTGAGTGTGGTGTGGTACGGTGTGGTGTGGCTGGCTGGTTGATGACAGAGCATGGTGGTGTGGTGTGAGGAAGAGGGATGGATGGAATGGATGGGGTGCAGCATGTCTTGTTCCTTCCCTTTTGTTTTCTGTTTCCTCTCTCTCTCTCCTCTTTCTTCTTCACACACATACATGCACAACACCAGCAGTGGCAGCAGTGTAGCTGCGCACATATCCATGCCCCCCTGCCTTCCCTCCCACTCACTCACCATGCTGGTGCTCGCACACAACCACACTTACAGGCGATGCGCACGCACAGGCAACAGGATGAGGGAAATGTCGAGGATACTTGCCACGCGTGCCAGCTACACTCGCCTCACACATGGTATGTGGGTGGTGATGAGCGGTTGTTGGTTGTGTGATGGGGCTGTGATGGTGGCGGTGCTGGGGTGCGGTAAAGCGAACAAGGGAAGAGGGGTTGATGGGGGATGATGATCACGCACACCGACACACGCACGCACACACACACCGACACATACGCGCACACGTGGTGCGTGTGATATCAATCCCTTGTTCTGCTCTGCTGACATAATGGCTTGCTCCGTGCCTGTTGTGTTCTATTCCCATCCACGTTCCCTGCAACCACGCACATGCACACATGCACAGGTGGTGAGGTGCCAGCACACATCAGGATGTTGATGGAAGTGGGCTAGCATGCCGGATACTGCAGCTGCAACCACCCCGATTCGGCTGCCGTTGCTGTGCTCATGCAGTGTTCCCATATGCGTGAGCAAGGTCAGCCCATCATGGATGTTTTGGTTGGCACACGGTGCATGTGTTGTTGTTGCTGCTCTGGGTGTGCTTGGTGTTGTCGCTGCTGTTGTATCTCGTAGCAGTGTCGCTGTGCAACTCACATGTCATGTGTGTGTGTGTATGCAGGGGATGGCTGCCTGAGGATCGTTGGAGGATAATGAGCGGTGCACACATGATGAATTGGGAGGAGCAGCTGTGGACACACACATCCATGGTCATGGTGGGCACATCCAACCACAGCGACGCAGCTATGCGCAGGTGTGTGTGTGTGTGTGTGTGTGTGTGTGTGTGTGTGTGTGTGTGTGTGTGTGTGTGTGTGTGGTGGAGGAAGGCAGAGGAGGGGGCAGGAAGGTGAACACGTCTGCTGTGCTCCCATGCCACGCCTGTGTGTTGTGTGTGTTGATGTTGTTGTGTCTTGTCGTTGCGTGTTGGTTGCATGGACACCAGGGCCACATCAGAGGAGGGGGAAGTAGCCGCCATGAACGACACATCATCATCACCCTTCCCCCATTCTCTCTCCTTTCTTTCTCTTCCACCTCAGCTCGGCCGTCACCGTCATCACCATCATCGCCATCGACTGCACAGCCGCCATCACACGCCGGCCGACACCAGCCCCAATCTGGCGTGAGGCAGACATTGCACATGTCACTCGCTCTGATGAAGAGGTGAGCATGTGTGTGCGTGTGTGTGTGTGCATGGTGGTGAGTGGGGACAAGATGTGTGCGTGTGGATGTGTGTCAGTGCGGGTGGTTGGATGGGGCTGGCGTGTGGCTGTTGATGCTTCGCTGTCAACCTCACCCCCTTGCATTCTCTCCCATCTTGTGTCTGTGCACACACACGTTTCACAGCGTTGGCGAGGCGAATGAAGCGGTGGAACCAACGACGATGACAATGACGAGTGATGAAGGTGAGAGGGGCGACTGAGATGTGTGTGTGTGTGTATGGTTGACATGGTGTGTTTCCCTTCTTCGCTTCCCTCTTTCCTGGTCCGTTCTACGCACTCATGTGTCTGTTTCTTCTTCTTCTCTCCTGTTTTTCGATTGATTTGGACACAGGGCCATGTATCCCGCTTCCATCCAACCGACCAACCAAACAGCCGAGCGAGCGAGCAAATGGACACGGCGTGGCAAGGGGCCGTTTGTTTTCACCGTTTCCACCATCAGCAACAACAGCTGATGTGTGGCTGCATTTGGATGAACGGGCCCTCTGTATCTTGTCCATCTCCTCCTCGTCGTCGCCGTCATTGGTCCCCAACAGCAGCGGCTGCGGCCATGGATGTGGAGGTGAGATGAAGAATGGTGGTGGTTGTGGTGATGTGGGTGGCGTGTGATGTGCTGGGTGTGAACATCAGCATGTCGTATGTGTGTGATTGTGAAGCGTTGGTCGGATGTGGTGGCAATGGATGTTGTTGTCGTTGATATCCTGATTCTGTGCCAACTCGCCTCTTTCTCCACACGCACACATACAGGGTGTATTGCGCGTCGATGTGCCGTTGTGACGACGACAATGATGGTGGTGAGTGGTTTGTGGTGGATGTACACGGCGCACGCACACGCATGTGCAGATGTGCTGCTTGTGGCGGTGGTGGTGTGTATCTGTGTTTGGGGATGTGACATGTGCATGCACAGGTGGTGATGTGGGTGATGTGAATGTGGCAAACGAGGTGGATGTGGTTTGTTTCTGCCATACTGGCTCACTGCGTGGTGTCATTCTTGCTGATTTGATTGTTTGTGCTTGCGCATGTGTACATGTGTGTGATTTTGCACAGGACGGTGGCCGTTCTCTTCCCAGGCCCTCACGACACGAGCAGGGCGATACACGCACACACAAATGTGCAAGAAAAGAAGGCACGAGGTGAGACGTTGGACATTTGTGTGTGTGTGTGTGTGCGTGTGTGTGTGTGGTGATGGGGTGGTAGTACTCATTCACACGCACGTACACGCATGTACACATGTATGCCAACAAATCACAGCAGTCATTGGCTGTGGGGTGGTTGCACTGACGTGTGTCTCACATGAATCAATCACACAACTCAAATGTGCGTGTGCATGTGTGCGTGGCTGCAGGCGGATGAGTGCGGGTTTCCCCAACCGATTTCCCTTCCCCTTTTCCCAACCAATCCCCTTTGCTCTGTGTCATCGTCATCATCATCAGCCTTCCCCATGTGATGTGGAGCTGTTGAGGCGTGATCGAGACAGCGGCCAACACAGGTATTGCAGCAGTGGTGGATGTGGTGGATGTGGTGGTGATATCGCGTGTTTGCCTGCTTGCTTGTTGGGTGCTTGCTTTGTTGTTCTCGTGTGTAGGTGATGCACCCCGCCACAACATGCTGCATATTTCCATGCGTGGTCCCTTGTGTTCCTCCTTTCCTGTCCTCACCACCACCGGTCATTGTTGTTCGTCTCTGGTTGGTTTCCCCTTGCCTCACAGGCATCCACGCAGGCTGGCATACTCGCTGCTGCTACTGCTGTTGCTGTGATGATGGCCGTGCTGTTGCGCGTGTGCGCTGTGCACCGTGTTTGGGGCTGCGCCGATGAAGACAAGGAAGGACACGGCCCTTGCCCACCACTCTTCCCCCTTCATCTCCTCTTTCTGCTCCATCAGCGATGACGATGGTGGCCGTGGCGTGTGACTGCGCTTCCTTTTTGTTTGGCTTCGCTGTGGCCCATCGGCTGGCTGGCTGCATCAAGCACAGGTGAAGATGATCGTTGGCGGTTGGTTGGTTGGTGGGCTGTGTTGTGTGGAGTGGTGGGAAGCAGGGGGAGGAGGGAAGTGACACGGCGGGTGGTGGTGGTGGTGATGGGGCGACGTGGGAGTGCAGAGCGAAAGGAGGGAGAGGGAAGGGAAGTGATGGGAGGGCGATGATGTTGGTTGGGGGATGGGAGTGCGTGTACACATGCACGTGATGTCGTGTGGTGGCAATATCAAATGACAATGACACACACATCAGCGGCTCATTCCTTTTGCTTGTACCTGTGATTGTGATTGTGTGATTGTGATGATGACTGCAGCAGGCAACACACGGCGGTGATGCTGGATTAGATTGGCTGGGGTTGACTGGCCGTCGTGTCGTGTCGCTCATTTCTCTCTCTCTCCGTTGCTCATCTCAACTGGGAACACACACAGCGATGTGTGTGTGCGTGTACATGTGTGCGCAGCGCCATCAACCACGCCGACAGCAACACGATGCACGAGGTGAGGGCACGCAATGGTGTGTGTGTTTAATGGAAGGGGTTGAGGGGAAGTGGGGAGGAAGGCGTTCCTCACGGCCATTATCACCACCACGGCTGTGCACCTGGTCATGTGACCGTGCATTTTGGGGGATGGAGATGGGGGGAGATATGTTGTCGTTGTGGTGGTTGTGGTGGTTGTGGTTGCATTGCTGTGTATGCGTGTGCATGGTGCACTGTCTCACTCTGCCATACCATGTCTGACTCTGTGTGTGTGTGTGTGACTGCAGATGTACGTGCGCGTGTGCGCATATGTCAGGCAGCTGCGTTGATCGACGACGAGGTGTGTGATTGTGTGTGTGATG